TCCCAAACACCTCGTTAACCGCGTTTTGGAGCGACACGCCCTTGAACTTGAGAATTTAGATTTTGGTTGCCGTAAACGCTACATGGTCAGTTCCTCTTAAGTTGACATTTAAAATTTTCAATAATATAATGCCTTACCTATCTCCATATTCACTGCACATTTTCCTTAGTCGTTTCTGTTTCTCTCGAAGACCACCTGTTTCCTTGTGGACTTTTTCAAACTTCTCTTTCTCGATCAAACCCCTCTCCAGTAGGTTTTGCATTGAAACATTCACCTCAATGATCTTGTTGTCATAAGATTCTATATCATCCATCAGGCGCTGAGCAAATATAGCAATAAAGAGAGATTAGGGATGGGGAATAGATTACCTTTAGATCACCGATAAATGGTAGGGTCTTAACGATCGTAACAAGAATTCTTCCAGTGAAGAGATAACAGACATGAATTCACAAATATTTTAGGGAAACTTAGTGTAAAGGATTCCTTGCCGGAGCTAATTTACACCAGGCTTATGATTCTTCAAAAACGCAGGGAAAATCTTAGTTTGGTAGCCTATTTTCGTGTGAACCCTTTCACTGCCATAACACGAGTCCTAATTTTTCTCTCTTATCACTTTGCATTTCCCCATAAATCACTTGGACAGATTTGGTGTTGGCTGTTTTTTACCACTTCAGTTCCACTTGTTGTTTTTGAAGGAAAATAACAGCAGAACAAGCCAGAATTAAATTGCGAATTTTTTAGGGATCACCACCCACTTTTAACCTACTAGTGCCACCAACAACTGATAATTTATTGTGGTAAAATCTTGTATGAAAAACGGTGATTTTAGATTCATAATGTACCTTCTGTTTAAGGATATTTTCTTCAAGCGAGAGCCGCTCATCTTCGTACATTTCGGGTCTATTTATTTCCCTCTCGATATCGTCAAAGTCCTCATTTATCTTTAGTAAGGACTCGTCATTAAGATCCAGAACGGCTTTAATGATGCTACAGTGATGACAAAAAAACGTTTTTAATCATATCTCTCTTTTATGACGCTCGCTGAGGTTGTTTACCTAGGGCTAAAATCGAGTGAGTAAATCGTACACTGCAGACCTCGAACTCGGTGAGTTAAAAGTTGCAATCAGTTTTCACCCACACACTCATAAGATAACGCGGCATTTAGATACAGAAAGAGAACAAGGAAAATACCTTCCCATCATGCAAGCAGTGAGTGTAAAACGAGTGATGTCACATGCAACCTCAAGAGAAGATCAAACCAAGAGACAAAATTTTCCATATAGGTTAAGTTCTAAAAATGAACACCACCGAAGATATCATGACTCTCATCTCCAATCATTGAAATGGCTAATCAAGCTCTAAAAGGATCCGTGCACTTTTCTACGAAAACATGGTTGCAACACGCGAGATAAGTGTAATATTCTTTCTGGGAGAGAAGTTAGTTAATATGGATATGAAAATAACTCAAAAGGGCTAACCTTTTTGTTTTGATTTATCATCCTATTTCACCACTCATTTCTTTTCAAAACTTACAAAATGGTGGATCTCCTACCGATTCTTATTTACGGTGCGTTCTCCCCACAATTGATCCCAGCTGTTCTTCAGATCCTCCACCCTCTTGTCCAGGATTTCACTGTCCGTATCATTGAACAGGTCTTCCTCTTTAGACTTCTCAAACTTATCTGCCACTGAATCGAACTCAGATCTTGATTTCCCTACGTCCCCCTCAAATCCCTGAAAATTGAAAATCATCTTTTAATTTTTGATAAATAAATTTCAATAAATAAACACCTGGCAAGTACGCTGGATTTACGTAAATCGTCTGTCCTTTGAATGTTTGAATTCGTGGTGTGCGTTTTTAAAAAATTAGCCAAAATTGTACTGACGATTCCTAAGCTTACTAAAAGCAAGGTAAACCCCTCTGAATGAAAGTTTTTGAAGATCCAAAGTATTTAGGTCAGGGGGTTGGATAATAATGTTGGCGAGTTTCAGTGTTAGGAGTATAGTAGAAAACGTGTATCGTGGGAAGGGAAGGTAATCTCCATACCAAGAAAAAGGTGAAAAGGAGACGAACCACCCTCAAGCATACCGAGAGCTTACTGATCTTTAACCATAATGTGCGTACAAAAGTTGATTTTTCGAACATCAGGACAATATAAAAGACACAAAATGTGACAAGAATATCTCTGACAAAACATCCTAAATGCTACAAAATCACTTAAGTTTAGATACCCGCATGCTCTCAGCTTACCGTGATATCGTTCAACTGTTTTTCCAGGTCCTTCCTACTTGACTCTGCAACTGAAAATTTCTGGAGCGACTCCTCCTCAAGACTTTCCTCGCACTTCTCGCACGACTTCAAGGATGAGTCCAAGGATTTAAAAGCAATCGACTGTTTCTCCAACCTGTTGATGAAATCAGGTAATATCTTTTGTTACTACAGACTAAACAATCATGGTAAACATGATAGTAAGATGAAAGTATGGCCCGTAAAGCCCAAGGTGTTACTTAGGCAAAGGAAAGCAAAGTTCATAATCCCTTGGCAAAGTGTATATATGATAAGGTAAATATCTCATGGGAAAAAAGAAACACAGTGATCCTTAACTCAAAAACGTTCAACGAGTTCTGTATCCTTAAGGTTTTTTTTTTCCTCAGGCTTTTCAAGTTTCTCAATCTAATTCTTGTTGACCCTCCTTCTTAAGCTGTCCTGGTTCTCTTTTGAATTTCTCTTGCCTATCTGAGGCAAATCTACCTCGGAAAAGTATTTTTAAATGGTTTCATTCCAACACCCCCAACATGTAGCTCCCTCAAGGAGACTCAATGGATCCCAACTTTCCCCCGTCTTTTCATTTTATTGCCCCGTAGTAGTAGAAAGAAATGTACATCAAAAGGAAGCTAGAGAGAAGAACTTGAAATTATCAACTAAAGACATTGCGATGGAAAAATGCTCTATAGTCTCTCTCCAAAAGGCCTAGCCACTATCGATTAGATCAAATTTACACGTTAAAAGGCTCTCAAATAAGTGCAGAACTTTACCTGAGCCTTTCCTCTTCAGAATGGTTGTCTATTTTCACAAAAACATTCACAGGGTCCAGCGAGGCATTCAAATCCACGGAAGCTGAGCTGGTAACAGTCTCGTTCGTGGATAAATCACCAATCCTTTCATTACCTTTTGATTTCTGATGCGCGAACAAAATGACGAAAAAACGTCTGAGATTGGTAGAGTTTTGTATGAAACAACTTGCAAGTTCAAGTTCGTGCATGTAGACCTTTACTGATCGAATCAATGTAGAATTGTCATTAATTAATTTCCTTAGTTTTACTTTGCAAGGAGATCATTACAAAGAATATCGTTCCAAAGCCTCTTTTCTCCTGTACACTGAGACTGAGGTACATGTATGTCAGATTTAAAAGTTTACTCGGCCTTTAAACTCCCATGATCTTATCTGTGTTTCTCTCTTACTGGCGTCATAGTTTTCCATGTAACTTATCAAAGGGAATTTGGATCGTAATCGAATTTACTCATATTGAAAGGTGTTGATCACCTGCACGTTAGATATTGTACTGACAATGTGACGAGAAGAATTCTAGTCACTACCGGGAGTGTGGTTAAAGGATCGCTTCAGTTTTTGGAGCGTTATTCTGTTCAGTTTTGAGATAAAACCAACATTGCTCACCTGGTCTGATGAAACAGTCAAATCCAGAGATGTTCTTTTGGTAACAGTTTCCTTCATAGAGATATCAACTTTTCTTTCTTTAACATCCGGATTCTGAGGGATAGTGACAAAACCTGGTTAAAGTGTTAGTCAAGCTAGTCTTTTTTACAAATCCAACAAAACCGACCTCGAACTTTATCTTCGACAATAGACAATGGTTAAAAATAGTACCCTTTTTTAAATAAATGCTAATATACGCCCTCTTTTTCCTTTCACGTCCCTTCGTCGGCAGCAAGTGGCCGTTTTTAAGGGAATGGCTGCTATAATTTTGCCGGATTACCTTTGCCTCGACTTCTTTTCTCTGCTGCGCCTCGCGCTTTTTCCGCATGGATCTTTTCCTTCGAAAAGACGAATTTCTTCGTGAGCTGAATCTTCGAATAATCGACTTCCTCTGCTTTACCAGCCTTTGACTCAACTTGTTGATCTCGGCATAAATTCTATAAAGTGAATGAATTCAAAATTTTAGGATAACCCTTAGTTTCTCAAAGATACTTTCATTTAGTAAATTTGGATGTTAATTACCCGTGAAATATAGGTACGTTTACAACTGCAGTTCATTTACATCAAATCCTCAAACCAACTCCTTCATATATTACCTGTCTCGACTTGCATTTAGCCGATTATCGATTGATTCCCATTTTGCCACGATAACATTGATGACACGTTCCAATTCTTCAGCATCTCCCCCGTCGAGCCTTCCACTCTTCATGAGTGTAGTGGCCATATCGTTCATGTTATGCAATCTAGGTTTGGACTTTCTGAAGTTCTCTAAGACTTTCTGCATAAGAACAAATTAAAGCACTTTTGTATTCAAACAACTAGTACGTTTTTCAAATTGTTAAATTCTTGTTGTTTTTGTTTCTTCCTCCATTTTCGTTATTTGTGATTACTAAGGAGCTCTCAACCTTCAGTTCCAAAGTTTTCAAAATCTCGCCTATAAGCCGCTGGTGCAAATAGCTAACCTGGGGTGTCTTAAGAAAGCTCATGGCTCAATTAATTATACGAACTCATTTGGGAATACATGAAGTGAGACGCGTGCTAAATTGCAGTTTAATGAGTGAAAGCATTAACAAGAACGACAGCAACAAAGTAACAAACAAACAAAAAAAGCGTTGTGGTCTCGATCCATAAAGAAGTTGAAACATGACGAAACTCAGCTGTTTTGCGTACTAGCGTACAGGTCTGTATAACGATACACACCTGGTTTTCATGAAGCTGTAAACTCACAGCTGTAATCGTGGTTCCCAATTTTTCCGGTTGATCTGCTTATGGGTCGTATTCCATAAGCAATGAATCCGCGATTTCAGCATTTTTCATCCACAAATCTAACTTGGAATATTCAGTTTGCATCTCCAGAACAAACGCTTCGATGCTGAAATAAATAAAATGAAAGGTGATGTTTGATTCCATTTAGGATACCTTCATAAGCTCAAAGAGGCGAAATGTCGAGTGAAAAAGGTATCCATATTTGATGAAGATCCCCGGTATGAAGAAAATTCAGATGGGAGGTGCCGGACTGGGGGGGCCGTTTGATGAGCTAAACATGTTACATGTACTTTATCAGTGATGTGTCGAATGACGGTTATTTATGGTCTTATAATTCTTGCAAAAGTTAAATCTAGTAACTATCGCAATAAATTAATGTAACGTTTTTATAGGCGACCAGGGTCCCTTTTACCTGGTGCATTTGTCGACGGCGTCTTTGCAAAGCACATTCCATCGATTGGCTATTGCTGCGATGTCCTGTCTCGTCTTTTCTTCTTTACTATTGGTTATTTTACCTTCCTCTAGGCTTATTTTTCCAGATTTGGTCACCTGATCAACTGTTTCTGCTTGAGCAGATATATCGCTGATTAAGCTCTGTGAATAAAAACAAATATATTTAAGCTACTTGACGGGAGAACACGATGACAGCTTGTAATAATCACTCGCCTTTGGCTCGTGATTCATAAGCTTTCCTCGTGTTCTCCCAACACCACGAGTGGCTCTATCACGTTATGGAGCGTTAGCGTTTTAGCGTTAGCGTTATGCGTGAGCGTTATGCGTTATGTGAGCGTTAGCGTTATGCGTTTTATTGCTTTTATGACAAGACTTGTTACATGCAGGCTGTATAACCTGACAAAACATCTTGAAACTGAATTGAAAAATCTGAATCAGACAATATGCACTGTGATCATATTATACTTAATATAACTTGATTATCCACAGACAAGTTTTTTCCACAATAAACATGGTTTAACTTGCTCTATGCAAAGATCTACTCCAGTTTTGTAACAAGAATATTACCATTAAAGAACCACAAGAACTACCAGAATAATTATGGTAACTGAGCTTTCCAAAGGATCCCATCAACGCGCCTTTCTTCACTTTTTTCTATCCTTTATCCAAATTCCAATTAAAAGGTTCATCCTATTGTCTTTGCAATTCATATTTCTACGCTGTTGAAACCTAGATGATGAAGATGGTTAATGAAAGTAAATAGCTGATACCTTGTAATTGGTGACGTCATTCTCTACTGTTTCGAAGTTTATGGATCTTTTGGATTTCCTTCTTCTCCCAACGGCCGCGCCATGAATCTTAGACTCTTTAGAGTTTCTTTGCTTCCGTATTTCAGCGAGTCTATCCAGAGCACTGTGGCAGAAACACATGCAGATGAGTATATGTTAGGACACTGTTTTATTGATCCGCATCGTTATTTTTTATTTATGCTGCCACGAAACAGAGTTAGTAGGGATTATTGTTTGCACCAACACACGTATGAATACTTAAATCCTTCTATAGTCCTGATGATGTAACATGTATTACATCATGGAATAAAATCTTACCTTTCCAGTTTTGCCAACCCATCAAGGACATTTTTATTCAGAAAACGGACATCACTCTCTTTGGCAGTTTTAAATAACTTGACTGAAGACGTCTTCCGGCCCTATAACGTTGACGGTAAGCTTAAATCAGGGCATTCAATCATATGTCTTCATATTTGGACGTATATTTATACTGAAAGTGTAGAACTTAAGGGTATATACGCTGTTATAAACGGATACAGATAAAACTAGATCAAATGAAGGTGTAATAAGAGCTTCGGACTCAACGTATACTTATTTCAAGACTGTGATTACATTGAATGGGTGGGGGGTAAGTTCATTTAAAAAAAAACTTTAGTACTGAGTCAGTGGGCGGTTTGATAACATAATTTGGAGCTGACGTTTCGAGCCTTAGCCATTTGTCAGAGCAAAACTCAATTCAGTTTTATTAGAATTAAAACCAAATCAAATTAAGTGTATCTTGTAATTACATTTAACTTACCTTTGAGGCAATTTCCCTCGTCGAGAAGTTATGCTTTAGTGCCCTGGTTTCTAAGACCTTCAACGAGCGGCTTAACTTGGATAATTGTTCTTTCAGATCCTCATAAACCTGCTTGGTATCACGGCTACATATAATAAGATCAACTCAGTTAGAGCCTTGGTTCGATAAACGATTAAGTAGATTACAAAGTGAAGGACAACGCTAGGTTGTTTCAAATAAGATTATAGTCACGAGAAATTCCATCAAGGTGACACATAACAAATTCTATCCTTTCACTTATATGTATTTTAGACTATGTTTGTGTGCGGTTCCCATTTCCTATTTTTATGGTAAGAGTGGAAGGGATTTTATAGTCAGCAGTAAACCAAGGTTGAGTGCCTAATCTATGAGGTTAAAACAGCCAATCCTATTCTTAACTTTGCCACGAGATGTTCCTTTAAAGCTGAAAAAAGTACAGAAAGCAAAGACAAAAGAAGCCTCGGTTGTTTGAAGTAAATTGAGAAAAAGTTAAAAAAAAATATGTTAAAAAACAAACAAACAAACAAACAAAAAAACAAAATCTGCGTTCATTTGAAATACGTTTTGCTTTGTTTCACGATTCTAAAAAGGGAAGCACTCCGTTTAAAACAAACTTGGTAACGGGTGAATTCAAGTTATTTACCTTATGACGTTATGCATTTGAAAGATTCCTGTCAACAACGAAGTACAGTTCGCGAAAGAAGTTAAATGGTACGTTCTTCGAAGGGGGTGAGAAGTGGTCAGGAAAATTTATTTCAGTTATAAAATTAATTTATCTTTCGTCTGTCCACTCTCAAAAAACGAAAAGGCGTCATGTAATCAAACTAAACTAAAGATCTGATCAAGTTTTGCATAAAATCAAATTAATGGCGTTTGAATTGAATAAGCCTTCAACTTTTTAGTTGAACAACACCTGTTTTCTCTTGAAAACTCAAGGAAACCAATGTTAGGATCTCACAATTATGAAACTTTTCTTTTCAAATGAGGGAGATAGTTTGACGGTGTGCTTTTCAAAAACAGTGCCTTCTGTTGCATAAATATTTTTTTCTAGGAATGAAAGGTAACGTCAGGGATTTTGAATAACGTTAATCAAAACCCAACAAATAATGAGAAAAAGAGAAAGTAATTATTTTATAACATCATTCGTGTTATAATTCTGTAGACAATTTGGTTTTCTCAGGGGCAGAGAACCTTAAATGGAAAAGGTCAACTGAAGTGCAGAAAAAGGAAAGCAATTCCAGGAGCTTGGCGGTACATGAGGTCCACGATGAGCGAAATGTTAATCACACTGTTAATTTTATGGTTTGCTGATCATATTATTAGGAGTTGCCGAAGCATATATCAAGCACAATATTTCGTTCTTGAGACAAAAAAAAATTAAGCTTTTGCATTTGACACGAGTCTAGATTCCTCCAGCTCCAAGAGAACTTTGAAGAAAAGCATGAGTTTCACCATGCGCTTGAGGGGGCGTCGTCCTAAACCAGAAACAGTTTTCGGGCCTTTTTTACTGCCAACACGGAAGATAAATTCATCTCAGTGTGATTTCGCTCCCTTGATAGGGTGCCGAGTTAAAAAAAAAAAGATAAGCAATCCCTGTTTACAACTGAAACAAGTAGCTAGCGGTCCAGAATATCATGGTACAAACAACTGAAAGGCTTATGGAAAACTTCCATCTTTGCCTTTCGCCATGCGCTTAAACTTTTTACAAACCTTTAGTGTGTAAAACGTCAGATCTCTTACAGTCAAACGTGACTTATTGAAGTACGCAACCGAAAGTAAATAGAATGTACAGTAAGCGTGAAATTCGAGGAGAGCCAAGTTTTTTTTTATGAAACTCTGTACTTTCATCTCAGTAAGGCTTTGTAAACAACGCGCGAATTTATCTATCGATGTTTAAACGAAAGCTCTGACGAAGGGCTAACGCTCGAAACTTCGGTTTTTAAGCTCTTTACGGCGGCCAATTAACATTATATCAACTCAGTTGATAAATTCAAATTACCTGGTTACCCCCATCGACGCAGCAAAACAGTTTCTTTTGAAACCTACCACCTTCAAACGAAAGCGTTTGTTATTAGTCCTTGAGCAGAGTAAGCACTTATGTTTTGCTTTCTAATCGGTTTTGACTCAATTGGTTTACAAGACTTTTTGCCAATCGTTTTGTTTTATCAAATGATTGACAACCAATATCGAACGATGACAAAACTTTGTTTAATCAAACAGAAATGGCTGGTATGGAGACCAAACGTCAGTTACGAACCAAACTTTCCCAGAAATGGAGCACAGATCCAGTCAATTTTAAGCACTTACGTAATGCGTAATTGCTTAATAGTTTATCAATTTCGATTTCAACATTTACTGCAAGCTTCAACAAACAGTCCCTTAGAATGAGAGTGTGTCCCATTCAAAATAGTTTTTCAGCTCAGGGAACTTCGTGAAGTGTTGTACCCTTGCAGAACTAATATATTAGCCGAATGAAGCGCTTGTGGATCGCACATGTGGTTAGTTACGTTTCCGATCGACATCAACATATCAGTTTCATGTGACATAATCAAAGCAAGAATGCTCTCACACTTAAGGGGTATAATTAAACTTGTACTGTACCTGTTCTTCGTGGCCATATTTCTGAGCTGTTCAAACAAACAAGCTACCAGCTGAAAGCGGTTTCTGCAAGTTTTTTCCACAAAGATATCACAAAAACAACCCTCTGCCCTTTAGACAAAGCTGTAAGATTAATGACTTTTTTAATGGAAGTCAAAAAATGCATTCATTTCCCACAAACAAAACATCTTATAATTAGCTATTATGAAAAGACAATAATAGGAATATGTTTGATTATTGTCACGCTAGATTGGTCTTTCTGGAACCGTGCATGTGGCGTAATTATTTTCTAAGATAACGACTACTTGGCTGTTCCATTCTGAGGGATTCATCCTCGTTGAATTAGGTTGCTGTATTACAATCTCTGAAATGGTATAAACTACTTTTGGGAAATATTTCAAGATTTTGCTTCTTTCTCCTAAACTATTGCGTTGTGTGTAAAACAGTCGGGATATGGAATGGTGTAAAAAAATAGAAAGGTGAAAAAAACATAAAACTCATTAGCTCTAATTATCTGTCTTAGAATAGACTTTGTGGAGTTTCGTTCGCCGAGAAAAACAGAAATAACAACGTGATTTAAAACCAATCACCAAGGCCGTCACAGAACGTTAGGAACACTTTCTAGCTGAGATATTTCGTAACACCAAAGTGTTTCGTAATCTGTTTTTAAAAAGCTCTTTTGTCACGAACGCCCCTTACCCGCGGGAATTGAAAGTAAGTGAAATGAAAACGTTCATTGGCACCCGACCGCCAATATATCTTTTTACAACTGTGTTCACTGTTGAGACAAAACCACGGGATAGAGATTTGAAGAAAATCATCCCGACCTGAACTGAACTGAACACTTTATTTAAACACGATGGGGTATTCAGCAGAGCTGGTGGGTCGTGTATTTTGGAATAAAAAATCAAATGTTAAAATGATTCATCAAGCTAGAATTATGTTTAAATAATATGCTATGTACTAAGACTGCAAAATTTAAAATCCTAAAAATAAATATAGTCGTCGTCTTCTACCTCTTTATGTCGAACGGAATGTTAAATAGAAAAGGCTGCCTGGGGCTTAACTCTGTTCATTTGTCGGTCCTTTACAGATACCACTTGCATTTCAAGCCTCCCCAGAGTGAATTATAACCAATCCGTTGTTCAGAGCAGTAATTTGACATACTGCCTTGAATTGGACTTCCTGTGTGGGTAAGGCAGCAATAACAAATTCTGAACTTAGATTGAATTAAAAGTAGTAAGAGATTCACCAGAAATCATAGGTTTGAGCGGATCTTTCAGAGATTTAACACATTTTTTTTCGTTGATAGGCTGGCATATCCCATGCCGGTCGTTGAACTGGAAGGGACTTATCATAAAATCAAAAACAAAACCTTACACAGAGAGAATGGTGCCGAAGTGAGATTCTTCCCACTTTGAAGGAGTAAGTAATAAACTTTGGAAGTGGAGTATGAGAATGGAGGGACTGAGAAGTATTGCTTGATATTGATATTGATATTTGCGCAATACCAATCAATAAATATTATTATTATTATATTATTATTATTATTATATTATTATTATTATTATTATTATTCCCACTTTGAAGGAGTAAGTAATAAACTTTGGAAGTGGAGTATGAGAATGGAGGGACTGAGAATTACTGCTTGATAATGATATTGATATTTGCGCAATACAAATCAATAAATATGATTATTAGATTATTATTAATATTATTACTATTATTATTATTATTATTATTATTATTCCCACTTTGGAGGAGTAAGTAATAAACTTTGGAAGTGGAGTATGAGAATGGAGAGGCTGAGAATTACTGCTTTCCGGAGAACACGGAGTTGAGCAACTTCGTCTTCTCCGGCAAGCAGTAAAAGACTAGAACAAAGAAGAAAGATAAAACAAAAGAATACGATCAAAAATTTTATTAAAAAAATTAAAGGAAGAAAACAAAACTTCGGTATTTAACATAAATACACAGAGGCAATGTAAAGACCAATAAACTTTAAGGCATCATTCAAATTTTCATATACAATCATCAGTTTTTTCAAATTTTCAAATTTATACTTTGAACTCAGAGGTGTGGCTTGAAAAGGATACGGTTTCTCCATTTGCTTTGTCAATATAAATCGAAACAGTTCCTGAGCTTGACTGATTGGAAGAGCGCCTACTTTACGATAAGCTTCTCCCGGCAATGGCAAAACAATCGACCGACACCTGCCCTCTATAAAATAACATGAAAATGGAACAAGTTCTGATTTAATATCGAAAGTATTCTGGAATTTGCTTTACTGCTACTAATGAGATGCAAAACTACAAACAATCACAACTTAGCCATCCTTGTGGGGGATCACATGGTATTCGGGGGGGAGATCAAGAGGGGAAACCAGCAGTCGCCAACAAAACATAAAGGACATAAACTCAGTTGATTGTTTATTAACTGCCAGTGAGGTGGAGGGGGAGCAGTTTTAATTGAATATCGAAAGTATTTTGGGATTTTCTTTACTTCAACTGATGAGGAGATGCAAAATGACAACCAATCGCAATTGAGCTAACCACGTGGGGGCATCACATGGTTTTCAGGGGGAATTTAGCGGGCGCCAGTCGTTGCTGACAGAAAAGAAAGGAGACAATGGAAATTGACTACCAGTTAACTGCCAATGAGGAAAGATGGGGTGGGGAGAATTCAGCTAAATCTTAGCGTGATCCCCGGGACCAAATCCTTTGACTGGCCCCCTCATGATACTGAAAACAACTACCAAGTCTCGAGGCATCTATTTCCCTCCAATTTTCTCTTCATTTTCATTTAAAATTTCTTCACTGCTCGGTGTTTTCTTTATTGTTTCTTAACCCTTAATTGCGCATTTCAGTTGAGCTTTGTATATACTCCAGCGAGAATTTGAATCATTAGGTTACGCAAAAAATGCGAAATCAATGTTTAAATAAGCAAGTCACAATAGCGAGAAACATTAAGCAATCATAAACGTATGATGCACGATCCTCGCAGTAGAGAGCGCTATTTATGCAATAGCGAAAATCAGACCTGAAAAAAATCAGGCCTGTACGGGATTCGAACCACTGACCTCTGCGATACTAGTGCAGCGCAGTTCAAAATATATGAATAAAGGCTGATAGTTTCGAAAGAAATTGTTTGGGGCTGTGTCGATGGAAGTAACGAAATAACTGGAAGGGCTCCGACGAAGGGCTAACGCTCGAAACGTCAGCTTTTGTAATCATTACGGTGGCTAATTTACCATTTTAACTTTGTTGATATATCCGAATTATTTCAAAATGTATGAACTTTCATATTTTCACTGTATCTGATTAAGCAATCAGTGTGAAATGTGGAAAGCAAACATTTAGAAAATATCTGAGGACTTTTCCTTTTCATTTTTCAGGGATAGAAGTTCACTGTCGGTGAATAAGCTTAATGTTAATAAGCGATTGAATAGAAAGGCATGACTCCATAATCAAAAAGATTATTTATAAACCTCACAAAACTCTTAGCTTTGCCTCTGTCAGCTGTATGCAATAAAAGTTCTTCCAGCGCCTAATTCAAAATAACAACTAAGTTGACAGAAAGTCATATTGGATTAGCAACTGAAGGTAAATAACACTGTCGAACCTTTGATTTAAACTACTCTGCTGCAAAATAAAGCTCTTATCTAGCATAAAGCTTCCTTAATTTAACAACCGAAAAATGTTGTCGCGTTTGCCTTATTGGAATGTTTGGTAACACCCGCATTCTTCGACAACCATATCTTCAAAGGAACGTAATATTAATTGCTGCTTTTTCCAAAATAATAATCTAATTGGCCGCAGTTTGACTGGCACACAACAGGTGACCATGCCATCTGTCGAATTTACTTTATTCTTTCTGTTGAGAGTCACCATTATCCGTGCATAGTTGTTGAAATGTTGAAGTTGCTTTATGTTGCATTTCCCAACGCACTGATAAGCATTGAAGCTGGAAGGATGCAAGATGCCAACGTCTACAGAGTTGATCATCCTATCCACTTTTCGGCAGGCGTGCTCACCGGCTTTATCTTGAACTTTCTCTGGCTGAAATCTTTGTTCTGACACATTATTCTTATTTTGAGAGGCACTGGAAGCTAGATGAAACGGAGAAATAGATGGTACGATTTTAAAGCCATTTCTTTTTCTTAGTTTAATAAAAGCACAATTTGGTCATATCATGAAAAGTAATTCAGACTCTGATAAGGTTGTCTACATTCCATTGGAAATATCCTTGTAAGAGATAAAAAATAACCTCGTGTATTCTTCATTCGACAGTTCTTTTGATTCAAAGACTCAATAGAAAACTGTTTTAAAAACCATAATCTCAGACTGAAAAATGATGTAGCTGTTTCTCGCAAGTCTTACTTTTTCCTACTCGCAAAACATAGGCAAACCAAAATTGTTTTAACTTACAATCTTCTTGAGACAGGGAAGACGCTCTGTTTGGACCTCTAGGTTCTGATGATTTCTCGATGTCTTCAGTGAGCGAGCTTTTCGCTGAATGTTTTTGGATTGCAATAGCGTTTACAGGCGCAAACGAACTCAGAAGATAGAGCACCAACATCAAAAGGAAGAATAATGGCTGCGACATATTGCAGAGTAAAGCAACTATCCACACTCAGTTACTATCCTTTGAATACCCCCAGTGCATTGGCTGACGAAAAATTAACTTGGCACCTTACTGTCGTCATATTCGAGAACATGAGCCAAGATCATATCAAAAACCGTCACTGCCTATGTGGCTGTATTATTACTATTTAAAACAAAAGAAAATCTATCACTTGTTGTTTTGTTGTGAAATCTAAACCGCTTAGAGGAGGTCTTGAGAAATGGGTGAGAGAAGAAAAACCGGAGAAGATGCCAATTATGTCGATTACGCAATGTTGACAGAGCTCCTCAGAGTTTGTCGCTCCATGTACTGTTAAATGCTTTAAATGGCTAATCTTTGTTTGAGGGCATCAACATAATGAAAAGACCAACTGTTATGTTACGCTCCCTAATAAAATGAACGAAAGATGCCTCACAGTAACTACAGATTAAGCCAGATAAGCTGATGTGTAAAAATGTGAAAAAGGCTTTTTGCCTATGTTATCATCTAGTTTGTTATTATTAATTTAAACAAAGAAACCTCGTCCTTACTCTAGAAGTTTTCTTTTGTAATCTACACCGCTTAGAGGGGGTCTTAAAAAAGTTTTGAGAAAAGGAAAAACGTGCTAAGATGCCAATTTGGATCTTATGAAACATCGCTGGTTCAGTTTGTCACGCTAAGTATTTATTTACATGTGTTATATATAGCTAATCCTTGTATAAGGGCAACAAGTTAATCTTGAGAGCAACTATCATTATGTCAAACTCCTTTTTTGAATAAAGACTAGATGTTTCACAGCGACTTATGATTGAGGCTGATAAGTTAAATCGTGTACGATTTAGGATACCTTTTTACTGAGGCATTTTATATCATATCATATAAAGCCTTCTGGTTCTTTCATGGTCGCTTCAACTTCATAAATGACCGCGGAGTCTGTTATACCCAATGAAGCGTGTTGACGTATATCTTCAGGGAGGTTAGAGCTGACTAGCACTTTCTCCTTGCAAAGAAAACCACAATCCTTCCCGCGAAGGGTCACAACAATCATGTGCTCCTCTCCTGGCGAGTGATCTCCATAGTTCGATCAATTAACAAGGTTTTTACGTGCACGGGATATCTCCGTTTGTTAATTGTTTATTCACAAAGATCAATTGAAATTCGGAAATCCTTTTTTTACAATCTTTCTTGTCAAGGAAACTGTTTCCCTGGCGTGCGTGTTATTTTTATTTACCATTTATTGCCCATCAAAAGGTTCATGACCTAATCGTGACAAAAACAAAGTAAACGAACATATTCTGTTCTTAGGCCTGTTTCCGTTGATGTTTTTCGTCTAACCCCACGGACTTTTGGACGCTGCTAAACACAAAGCAAATTAATCTCACAAGGACGCTATGACTGAACTCTCTACTCTGAGATTTGATTGTCCTCTCGGGAAGGTAATCACCTCTTCTCAGCTCAAAATATCTTACCTTCTAAAGAGATATCTCACCTATCATAAAACAAGAGAATTATAACCCCCTAAACAGAATCATCACGGCTTATACTATTTTGCGAAACGAAACGAAACGAAATTTTGCGAAATGGCGTTTTTTCGCCTTTATTTAGCAAATATGATATCCTCTTCGTCCACGTGTCCACTAATAAAATGATCAATATTTCTAAGAGCCTAGTCACCTCTCATTTTATTGACCATAATAGCGCTCGTTTCGCAAAGTAGTAATTTTGACAGAATTACTATTTTGCGAAATGGCGTTAATTCCCCTCTTTATTTAGCAAATATGTCCTTTTCGTCCGATTTTTACCTATTTCGCAAATTAGTAATTTTGCCGGAATTACTATTTTGCGAAATGGCGTTTTTTCCCCTTTATTTAGCAAATATGTCCTCTTCGCCCGAAACAAAATGAAAGACAACTACTTGTTCTTGTTCTCAATTGCTCTTACTGGCTCGGAGTTTACTCCTTATTGTTGTTATAATGCTCTTTTCTATTCTGCTCTGTATTCCTTGTATCTTGTTTTGTTCAATTTTTTGTTGCCGCACCTCGATTTTATAGTTGACCAACAACCCACATGCGTGACTGTCAAGCCGATCCACTTGACGTGGTTTAATGTTTTTTGTTTGGCCACAACAATTTCCTCTGCAAAATGTCTTTCCCAAGCCTAGGTAGTACGGTCAATGTAAAACGAGGTGAGTAAAATAATAAACACAAAGCATCATCTGGCACAAGAATTCATTAAATAATACCGAAAGTGAAATCATTATCTATGGAATTCATGCGGTTTTATCTATTTATTAATTTTATATTGTGATTATAAATAGGCCCTTTGCAGCTAGAGGTCACGTGCTCCCTGAAGAAGTCTACGACAGTTAGACGAAATGCGTAGGAAAATAAAAGAAGTTTTACAACTACTGTTCGCAGAAGTGCTGCTCACTAGTCTATCTTTAAAAAACAGCAGGTCCACATCAGCTATTTTTAGCTGCCTGTTTGGATATTAATTTTATATTGTGATTGTAAATTGTTTTGATAACAGCAGGTCCACATCAGCTATTTTTTAGCTGCCTTAATTCAACCTGCTATACCAAATAAAGGGTTTGTATGTATGTATGTATGTATGTATGCCTGTATGTATGTATGTCTGTATGTATGTATGTATGTATGTATGTATGTATGTATTTATGTATTTTGGTTGGAACTGTTTGGATAAAGCAGCCCGTGACTGTGATAACATTGGGACTTTTAAAAGGGCTCTGAGAACATGTGACAACAAAATAGCACTACAGAAAGTCTCTTTTGTGAAAGGAACATGCACAAATAACAACAAGGATCTCCAAACTTATATATGTATATGTGCACGATCCTTCGCAGGAAAGCACTATTTAAGCAATAGTGAAAATCAGACCTGAAAAAAATTCAGGCCTGTACGGGACTCGAACCACTGACCTCTGCGATACAAGTGCAGCGCTCTACCAATTGAGCTAACAAGCCAACTGGGAGCAGGCCATCAAATTAATTCGACATAAACCCGTAGATGATAAATCAAACAACAAACATATGAAATACATATATATTGGTAGAGCGCTGCACTAGTATCGCAGAGGTCAGTGGTTCGAGTCCCGTACAGGCCTGAATTTTTTTCAGGTCTGATTTTCACTGTTGCTTAAATAGTGCTTTACTGCGAAGGATCGTGCACATATACGTTTCATAACCGCAGTTCATATATATGTATTTCATATGTTTGTTGTTAAACTTATATATATTACTAAATTTTGATCTTCAGGCGCGTAGCGTGGTCATTTCTTCAAGTAGGCACAAGTACATATGATCTAGAAACCTAAGTAAATTGAGCGAAAAGTACTGCGTTCTTTATTTCTTGTTTGAAATAGTTGTGTGAATATATGCAAATAACAAAGCGTCTTCCCCTTATTTTGAGCAAACTTGGTGCAAACACAACATTATTTTCAAATTTTTCTGGTCACTTCAAGTACGCACGTGCGTATATGCGTAGAGGACGCTACGCGCCTGATCTTATCTATGGAATTCATGCGGTTTTATCTATTTATTGATTTTAATATTGTGATTGTAAATTGTTTTGATAACAGAAGGTCTACATCAGCTATTTTTAGCTGCAAAATTCCCGGTCGAGCTAGGCGAAAAGAACGGCTGAGCAGCTCCAAATTGAAACAGGCGTCCCTAACTGATTCACACAACGAACTTTTCATGTACTTAATTTAAAGTATTAGGTTCGGCTCATGAAAAGTTCGTCGTCTGAACCGGGCCTAAGATATGTTTATCCTCTTTCAGAAATGCCAATTTGTTTTATCCTAACAGAGTAAAATTACCACCAATTCTCCAGTTTCCTTCATGTTATAATTTTGGTCACATGACCTATCACGCGCATAAATAAACGTCAGGGAAAAAGAAAACTTCAGGATATAGTTTTGGGGAAAAGAACAATTTGCCTGAGTTTTTGGTAACCTAGAGAGATATGATTGTCAGTCATTCTCATGCTCAGAACACACCTTTCACCCAGAGAATCGGCCTTGAGTTGAAAATAGAAAAAATCGCCATGGTTCAGCACAGAAACATTTTATTTTCAACAAACCTGCAAAGCTAAAGCCTTGGTCAAACGGCGCATGATAGTCGATGATAGTGGATTCTCGTCAAGCTATCATCAACTATCACCAACTATCATTCGCATGATCAAACGGCCAAAAAAGTTCGTGATAGCTGATGATAGTTCACCTGCAGTCGCGCGAGCAAAGTTACGCGAGCAGCTAGTTCCATGCTCTTTCCGCGTAAAATGTGAACACTAACATGGCTTCAACAAACTTCTTCAACAAACTTGTTGAAGTATGAATTTATCACGACGAAAGAGGGCGGCAGCTTGCTTACTATTAATCGATTTGTTGGAGGAATGTACAGAGGATGAATCTGGAGAGTGTTGGGGGAAGAGAGGACGGACAAGGGAATGGATTAAAAGGAGAAACGAAAGGGGGATGTTGAAATAGGTGGAAGAATTGCGAGTGGAGGATACTGCCGCTTACAAGGAAATGTTGCGAATGAACTTTGAAACATTTCAGGAAACATTGACCGCTATCGGGCCTGAGATTAAACCGGGCCACTTTAAACGAGCCCGCCGATTTTCGGGGAAAACAGCTGACCAAAAACTATCATAAACTATCATACTCGTGGTCAAACGAGAAAAACTGTCACCGGCGCCGATGACAGTTTTTCTTGGCTATCATGAAGAATTTGAACAAGCTCAAAATGAATGATAGTTGGTGATATTCGAGGATAGTGCATGATAGTTGGTGGTCAAACGGAAGCGCGCGCTTCAACTATCATCGACTATCATCGACTATCATCGACTATCATGCGCCGTTCAACCAGGGCCTAACGTATAACGATACCTCAAAAGGGCAAAGTATGTGAAACATTGCTTCCGTCTTTTCTTTTTAAAGGAATTTTTTCGTTGTCGTGAATCGAATTATTTGTAAAGGGATGCAAACAATTCAGCTCAAAATTGACAAGGTTTGGTGGGTTTGGTTTGTTTTTCACCTTCGAGAAGACTGTCATCAACTACTCACCATTTCGCAAAATAGTAATTCTGTCAAAATTACTACTTTGCGAAACGAGTTCTATTATGGTCAATTAAATCAGAGGTGACCAGGCTCTTAGAAATATTGATCATTTTATTGGGGGACACATTTTGTTTCGGAAGAAGAGGACACTATTTGTTAAATAAAGGTGAATAAACGCCATTTCGCAAAATAGTAAATTCTGTCAAAATTACTACTTTGCGAAACGAGTTCTATTATGGTCAATAAAATGAGAGGTGACCAGGCTCTTAGAAATATTGATCGTTTTATTAGTGGACACAATTTGTTTCAGACGAAGAGCACATATTTCCTAAATAAAGGCGAAAAAACGCCATTTCGCAAAATTTCGTTTCGTTTCGCAAAATAGTACAATTTCGTTTCGTTTCGTTTCGCAAAGTAGTATAAGCCAATCACCAACCCTTCTTCGGGCAAAATTGACCACAGTAAGATGCGTAATTTTGCGTCGTCCGTTTCCACAGACATTTGTGTTGATTGGTGAGAACTTCAATGTTCAATTGATTAAAACTTAAAGACAGAACAATAATACCGGTCACAAACCTATTATATGTTCCTTTAATCTGTTTCGTGAGTTAGCTTTTCAAGACTTGAAGTATTCACATACGTATGATATCGAAACAAACCGATTTCTATGTTACTGCTGCCCAATTAGAAGAACTATTATTGTTTTAATCTTAATTATAAGTACAAAGTTTTATTTTAACACTGAAGAATTTGGAGGTGAGAACTACTAAGCGTGAATCGATCAACCGGGGTGAAAGAGCTGGGTTGGTGTATTCCTATGGGGATTAGATTCTCTATAATAAGATGTAGTTGTTAGAATGTGGTGGGGCATTCCATCCCAAAATCTTTTGTATCATACTTGAGAGGTATTCTTACAGACCTATAGATATTCTGAGATAATGATTCTACAACTTAGCTGCGGTAGTTTCTTCACCTCTTAGTGTCGTTACGATCGAAGAAGACGTGAAAGACCGTAGCCTTCACATGAAGTGACGGACGTTCTTTATAATCAATTTCCACGTCTGAGTACAAGAACATAGGACTAACCAGAGAACTCAGCCTTGTCTGCGGAATTTTATGAAAGCTGTTTTCCATAAATGGCTTCCTATCACAATATTAACAACCTTACTGGAAAAAATTAAACAACTCAGTGCATCTTTTCGTTTACCTTTTTAAATGCAATAATCTAGGTGACTATGACGGATTGTTTAATAACACATTTGAATTTTCCCATGTGAAAATACAAGAATTTCTTTGGCAACCGTTTGACTGGAATGCAGCACGTCCGGCTTTTGCCATCACCAGGTTGTCTCAATCTTTATCTTCCTGACAAAGGAAGCCGTCAGCGAATAGTTAATAGGCTTGTCTAGATTTTGTTGTAGTTTGCATTTCCCTGATAAGGATTGAAGCCATTATCAGACACCGTGGTAAAACTGAATCCCAAAAACATCATCTGGAATAATACTTTCCCTGATGCATCAAAAAGTGAACTGAAAATTGCTTATTCACTGAGCGCTCCTCTGAGAAATTGAATGGAATTATGAGATTGAGAGGGGAGGTTGTCATTAGACTCACCGTTTTTGATGAGTAATTGCCGATTTTCTGCAGAGAACGAACTTATCTACCAAACAATTCTCAGTCGAAGTTTCTATCGCATAAGAACTCAGAAAGAAGGGCGATGCCAAAAGAGTTAGAGTTCAATTCCCCCCGATTACTCAATGTTGGCACTATTCATGTCAATCATTGCAGCTTGGCGTTTTGTATTTTGTATTTATATGTTCCCTTGAATGTATTCATTCAGAGCGGGTATCATCGAGGAATTAAACAATGTCCATTTCTTCTCTCTGGTTGCCAAGATAACAAACCTTCTTAAAGACAAGAACACTGGCCGGTATCAACATTCGGCAGCGAGTCAATTAGTTGAATAACTAAGACAATTTCATCATTCTCTTCAAAGAAAATAGTCTTGATCACTCGCAGTAACAAATATTGATTTCGAGGAGCCGAAACTCAAGAGTTCACGCTGAGACATATTGTTACCGTGTCACGTAATAATTGAGAAAAACTAGTTTATATTACGAACTTCTCGCACGGATTCCCATTTCTAACTTAAACCATGAAACTCGGAGAGATTATAGCTCTCTTGCAAGGGTTATGAACTCTTCATATCTTGGTAAATTCTTTCCCGCTCTCAGGAGGAATATTTCACCTCTTATGTACAAAAGGGTTACATCGCCGGAATAGAATAATCCACCTTCTCTAAGCACTTCATCTCTCCATCCCCTAAACCGCAAATATGGTTAGGAACTTTCACGATCATTTCGTTTTCGAAACTCGAAGAGAAAACTTTATTTTACGGTCATTAAGACTTCTTTTCTCATTGCACTTATCTGCTGAAGCGACGACGTCTGTCAGTGGCAGATTTTATTGCATCATAATGTGATTACTTGAGACCTGCTAATCACTGAATACTAGTAAAGACGACCTCGCATGATATGCTTTCACTAACTCAACCGCCTCCCGGTTTGCTCAATTGGTAGAGCGCCGGACTGTTGTGCGGGAGGTCGTGAGTTCAATATCTGCAAATGGTTAGACTTTCTAGTATTCTCGGATAGGGACGATAAATGGGGGTCCCATCTCCTCGAAAGTGTAAGCTAGTTTTTGTAGAGTTGTCATAAACATGGAATCCATGCAAGTCAGGTTGCTTCCTAATCGTCTTACCCCACAGACTCACGGACACCATAAGTAAGCTTTTTTTTCTCCGAGAGAAGATACCTTTCTCTGCACAGGATTTTTGACTGGTGAAGTTGCAAGGTATCTTGATCTAATTTTATTGCCCCAGCCTCCAGAACTGTCCTTTCTGAACTAATAATTCCAACAACCCTACCTCTACAATGATTCTGTTGAAATTTTTCATGAGTTATAGAGACGAAATCGAATAAAAAGCTCTCACATTTTCACGTACTCTCTTTAAGCGTTTTTTCAGCTGTTCCTGATCGCCTTACCCTAAGAACACTTATTACTGCTTAACACCATAAACTCACCGTATATCATTAAAACACGCACTCTGAGAGAATAGTACCTTCTTGCGATCTCCTCTTCATATAACAACTCTCATACCTAAGCTACGGGATTTAAAACCCTGAAGAAAACAATCCCCTCTCGGATAAAGAGGAATGACCAAAATAACCATTCAGTGCTTCTTTTTCTTTCCTTTGTCAAAAAAAGCTTTTGTTGTCTGAGGACCTTTTAATACTGAACGAAGCCGGCTCAGCTGTAACACAATTTTTTTTTCGTCGGCAATGATTTTTTTCCCACTACGTTTATTTGTTCGGTTGAAGATGCAACGTCTTGCAGGTAAAGAGAACTTTAAAAGAAATCCCCCTCGGAATGCTTGTGAAAAAATTTTCAAGACCAATGAAGACGATTAAGGAGAAAGTGCTCTCCCATACTCATACTGCTGCTCAAACGAGAAATTTTATCCCTTAAGAATATGATAAGTGTCCTGCAGATGTCCCTATTAAGTTATACTGACAGGATTTATTTTGGATTGGGAAGCATCTCATGCAGTCATATGAAATCTTTTACACTAAAATATTTTCATGAAGCGGCAAAAATTTATTAATTCATTTATAAGTCAGTGTCACAACAATGAAGAATTGCACTGAGCATTCAGAATACGCTAAAGATGCCTTGACTTGTTTAAAAAAGAATTACAGTTGTTACTCAGCATTGTTGATATCGGTAACATTTCCTTCGATAAAAGGAAACTTTCGTAAATTGCACGAAGGTGTTCTTATCAAGCATAAAGGTTTCTACTGTTTATAGTTTGCCCACACTACACAAAACTATTACGAATGTTCAGATGCACCCACATTCCTGAACAATCATGTTATCAAATTTCCTCAATAAGACTTCATCATTATGAAGTATCAAGAAAGAGAAAGGGCGCCACTTTATTGGGACACAGCAGGACCTGCTGCCATCGGTTGAGTAACCCTCGTTCTTCGAATTCAGGATCGCCATCATCAGTGAATAATTCGTAGGTTTGCCTGACTTGCACTTTCCCACACACTTAAAAGCATTGAACCTCATAGGTGCAACGATTCCATCAAATAAGGTACTATTTTCAAGATCTGAAGAGCTCACATGCATTGGCACCCTTCGGCAAGCACCAGCTTCATCTTCTTTCTCCTCTAGAAGAAATTTTCGTTCTGTTTTCTTGCTGGAAAGAGCTTTAATCTGGACTTCATTGTGCTTGTCAGCTGCTTAAAACAAGATGAAAATGAAATGGTGGAATTTTCGTTTCAAGACCTTTCTTGTTCAGCCTTTGGGACTTTTAAGGGCTAAGCAGATCAAGTCGTTACAAATATTAAAGACCAAATTTCTGTATTCAATTTATTTGCCCATGGAAACATGATTGCAAACGTCTGCTCGCCTTCTTAAAATTATGATCTACGTAACGTTGACAGCTGAGGGCAAATGAACCCGTAGAATTTCAAGCATATCAATCTTTTCGGAATGACAACGTTTTTCCATCAGGCTGGTACTTAAATGAAAACACAAGCAAGAGGAAATAAATTTTTTCACTTACTTTTCCCTCGAATCGAACTCGAAGAGTGCTTGTTTGGAACCTTCGTCTCAGGTGGGTCTTTCGTCTCTTCAGAGCACGAAGTTTTCTCGAGACGGTTTTCATGAGCCATTCTTCTTCCAGATACCATCGAACTCAGCATGAAGAGTTGCAGTATAAAAAGGGACACCGTCGGTTTGAACATGATTACGAGAAAAGCAAAACTTCAGAAGAGTTTATCCTTCGAATACCTCCAGTTTATCTGATCAATGCGGAAGGTGGGGTGGCTTTATGAAGTTCATTGTGCCCTTGGGGAGTTAATCAAGGGTATGAAATTGCTAAATTCTTGTGCTATCAAGTTTCTTCAGTTTTGGTAAACAAAAGTAGCGGAAAGGATCTGACTCACTGAGCTACTTGATGAATGAGGGCCACAAACATGCACAAACAGTTGATAACCACTATTGATGACCACTATTGATGAAAAGCAGCAATTTTTGACGGTTCGGCCTGATAAGCTAAGGAATTGTGCTGTATACGGCATGCACCAATTGTTAACTTCAAAAAGGCGGCATGATTTCACCACATTGCAGAAGAAAAACAAAAGACTTTTCATTTTTTGAACTTTGTCCCTCTATCTCTACCTCTACTCCTAATAAAAGGTCAGTGATCACGCGCCCAGGAAGCGTTTTGCTGACATCTTTGGCTGAAGTCTGTCGACCCACGGAGCGGATTATGATAGGGAAGAGAGTCTGCACGATATCTGCGTTTCGTGTCCGTTGAGATATTATTCGTGAAAATAGTCGTGAAGCGTTCCGGCTCTGGAGTATGTTCGGTTGGGGAAGCTTTCGAAGTGTCGAGAGTATAAAGAGAGATAAGAGACAATTATACTTACCATCGTGTGACTGGTTTAAATTCGGCTTTATACTTTTACCTTTCGTGAGAAATGGAATCTCACCTCGTGCTTATAGTTTAACTGATTAAGCTTATAGTTTAACAGATTAAGATCAAGTTAGACACTTTTTGAGGCATTAGGTACTGAGTGACTCTCTCCAACTCCGTGTGATTATAAGGGAAATGAAGAAGAATGAAACCAATTCCGAGAGAACCTGGTAAAACTTTAATGAATTGCAGAGCTTTTATTCTCAGGTCTTGTGGATCTAAGCCCATCTCTTTCACATAATCACATATTCCTAAGTATGGCTTGAAATCTAAAAATTCAGAGATTACCACACATTGTCTGCTATTTATCCTTTGAAACTTAACTAGTTTCCAAGATTAATGTGACTGTGTAATTGATGGATTACAAATGAGACTGAACTTACAGGAGGCAAAAGTCATATGTCAAGTTTCAAGGCTGTCCTACAAAAGTTTTGCTCTCTCCTCAACTAAAAAATGCTAAACATCAAAGGTGAAAGTCCTTCTTAATGTTCCGATTAGAGAAAATGAGGTATCGAGATAACTCCTCAAATATGATAAGTTGAGGAGTACTTTTTCCGGTTTCTATTTGCGACACATTGCGTCGTCTTTCACAACATAGAAAGTAAAATGTAAACACTACTCAACCTAATGGTCATTAATTCGTCATGGGTGCTGAACTAATCTTTCCTAAGCTGGTGATCTTTGGGGTTTCAGGGCCAAATGGACGTCATTTGGTACAAAACGCATTGACAAAAGGTCACTTTGTGTCCGCTGTGGTGAGGAGTCCGGACAAATTCGACATCAGGTGTGCAAATGGACTCTTTATTTTTCACTAAAATCTCTGGTATCGTGACTGGCGAACCTTTGAGAACATGGATGGTTCAGTGACCCATTTACTACTGTGGTTCTCAAATTTAAACATTAACAGTGGACATAACTTGTAAAGCAAATCGATGATATCAGACCGAAACAAATTTATCGGAATCGAAATCCATTGTACAGCACACGAATGATTTTAAGACAGAGAAACAGAGTGACTTGAACACAGACGTTTCCTTGTTTTAGAGTTACTTGGATCTGAACTTAAAGCATCTATGGGAAACCCCACGTGATAATAGCACTTGCTCCTTATGTCTTTTTCTTTTGTGACAACCTCAGACCATTTTGTAAGAGAAAATAATGAAGATTAAATTTACATTAACACTGCGTGACTAAGGTCACGCCAGCTCTGATATCACACAACTATCGTATGTAAGGTTTGTACAAAATGTTCTCGTTTCAACTTAACGAAATTGATTGGAAACGTAGAAAAAACAGGTAATGAAAACAAAATTTTTTTCAGTATTCTTCGGTGATTAAGTGAAGGTACCTTCAAGCGTTCTCAAAGGAGGCGGTGTCTTAGATCTTCTACATGCCATTTTGGCCGTTTTTAAGATTGCCTTTCATCTAATTCCCGATTATGAAGTACATTTTTTTATGTATAACTGTATTTAAAGAGCCCTTCACGGTTACCTCGAATGTCGGAGCTGTAGTATTTATTTGCCTCTTTCATCGGTCATAACTGCGTAGAAAACTGGTTTATTTGGCCATACTAAGGAAAAGAGAAATCTCTTACACGTAAGACGAACCAATAGATAACATTATAACGTCTCGGAGGAACTAAAATTTCCCATTTTAGTCAAATCGTCATCTGCTTTTTTTTCTCTAGATGTGCAATGAATTCTGAAGTTGTCTAACGCAACTAGCTCTCACATTTTAATCTGCACAGCGTAAGACTCAGTAGCTTCTAAACAATGATTGATACCTTCTCCGAGGGTCCCCAATAGGTTTTTCGGGATCCGGGATTTGGCTTATTTGAAGGCCGGGATTCGAGATTTTGAAGGAAAAGTGGGACGAGATTCGGGATTGTATTTATGACCGGGACACAGGATTTGGCGATTTTAACAGGCAGGAATCGGGAAATGTCGCTTTAAAGAAACCGGGATTCGGGAATTTCAGAGTCTGAAATATACAAAGAAAATCAAGCTGTCATCTTAGCTAGCTCATCTTATTAACGTTGGAAATGGTCGGAAATAGCCGAGAAATGACCTAGTTGACATCCACGTTTTCCACCACCCTATCACGCTGCTCTGTGACCCCTATGGTGATCTGTGGTCTATTTTCGTGAACCTTGAACACCTTGGCCGTAATGAGAATCCAATTTCACAATGTCTTGGTGACCTTTGTTTTTTGTTGACCGTGATATTACTAGTGTCAAGTTTATACAGATCCTGATCCGATACAAATCCTGGTGCGCGTGGGATATTCGACGCGAGGGAGACTAGCTAAGTTGTCGTTTGCGTAGTTTAACGCGCCCTAGCGAAGTCGGTTAACATCGACAATGATGTTGCCGATGTTATTAGCTGCGTAGCTTTGTTTTATGAGAAGGGGAAGAGCGGAAATTCGTTTCTTCATAAGGAGAAATTTCGGGAACAACTTCCACGGAAGGAGAAGACATTAAAGTCCGTCAGGGAAACAATTAGGTAAGTTCTGTTTCTTGCCTTTACTAATTTAGACTTTTGGAACTTTACAATACGAATGACGACAATGAATTGCGAGAACTTCGACAATGAAAAATGACGCTTTTTTATGGTCTATTAATATCAGTAATGAGTAAAGGGCAATTTCGTGTAGCATCATGTTTCTATCACGTTTCCAGACAAACCAATGACCTCAGTAACCAGACATTTCACTGTAGATCATGCTTGTTTGTTTCTGTCTAATTTTGAGGGTTTTTCTTTGGTTGATTGTTGTTTTCTTTTAAATACAGCCGCTTCTTTTAATCCTTCCGGCATTCGCTATTGAAAGGTTCTAAGTTATGCGTTTTTATTATTTTGTTAAACGTCCCCAGTAGCCGAAACCGACGAGAGGCGGCCCTTTTTGCAGGCTATAAATAGTGTTGGATTAAGCAAGAAACTTTGGAAATGCAGCCACAGAAGGTATCAAGAGAACGACCCATTGAGCGGCGATCTATTTTACAAATCCAAAGTCTTGGTATTCTGTGTCCGAACGCGCCATATTTCTGTCGGCCATGCCTGTTATACAACCCTCGCCAGCTGTACCAATGACACCACAGTGTGTACAAGTTATGAGGGACTGGGCACAAACGTTTGGTGCTGCAGTGCGTCAGCACTCTGTCAGACAAGAGACAACAATGGCAAGAGCCGGAACCCTGCCTTCCTACCTCTACCAGAGAGAGGTGCGACAGGGTGAGTCAGTCTCCCTTGAACGCTTCGGGGAACAACGGAGAAACGAAGCCGAAGAAGCAGACGAGGAAGACGGCATACTGGAGTACGATTCAAGCAGTAGCGAAGATTTGGAAGACGAGTCTACTAGTAAGGAAGAGGCCAACGATGATGTTGGTGGAATTCCGTCGTTGGATCACGAGGCAACTGTTTTGCTTGGAACGGTTTCTAGTTTCGGAAGAACTGTTCGCTTCAATAGCAGAATTATAGTTTCATTGCAGCGAATTGCTAAAGAAGCTCCTAGATGATAACGATCATCAAATAAACATTTCGCATTAATTTAGCCGCAGGTGACCAAAGCGTACGATAAGAGTTTGTATGGATTTGAAATTTAAACTATCTCTGTTTTTCCTTTGAAAGCTACAATAAAGTGACGTGTACTCTTTATACGCGTCAAAATCGCTCAAATGGCTTAAAGAAGCATTTCGGCGACATAAAAACGACACCACTTAGAGAGGTTCGAACTTTATCGTAGCTTTTCAAAGGAAAACAGCAATAGTTTTCGTTCGAAATTGAAATCCATACAGGCTCTTATTTCAACCTCTTGTAGTACGCTTTGGTTACCGGTGATTACGGCATTTTGAGCCGGAACATGTAGCACTGGTTAAACTGGGGTCGAAAAGAATATATGTTTCAGTATCTGTTGAGCACAATTGTACTCGATTTTATGGAATTTCCAGGTGGATGTTGCCATGGCTGAAAATTGTGAATTAGCAAACTGTCTTCTGAGTTGCGATTGACGGTGACTTGCCATGTGTGTAGTGAACAGTGAATTTGCCATGGTACGTCGTGATCATATGTACCCTTAATGCTCTTCATTGATCGCTATCATCTCCGAGAGACACTTTTTTCAGGGATCGAAGTGATCCGGGGGGGCAGGTGTTATCGAACAAAAGAGGCAAAACAGAAAAAAAGTAAAAAAACCCTAAAAAACCAGCTATAAAAACCATAAAAAAGACTCATCGACTGACGAAACTCGTTTAAAACCAGTCATGAAAAACAAATTAACAATATCATCGTTTTAGTGCAGAGAGATACAGCTAATTCAACGTAATAGTCAGT